ATTAAAAAGTTTTATTTCTTTACAATTCCATTTTTTTTATTAATACAAATCAATAAATACAAGACCACTTCGTGACTTTTATTCTTTTTTACTACTTTTTAATAACAATTATTAGAATTTATAATTGCGTATCGGACTTAGTGCACAAGCGACATCCCAAGTTAGTCAGAGTTTTAGTTTATCGAATGCAGTGAGCGAACGCGCTAACGGTTGTTAATTCGCGTCAATGAAGGTTGTTAGACATATTTAATAATTATGTTTTCGTAGATAGTTTGATTTGATTTGGACATAGATAGGGGTTGACCGGCCAAAGTCATATACCGTAAACAGTTTTTATTCCAAGTAACTATGTAAATTTATTAAAAGTAATAATTTGTTTCTGTAATAGTCTGTGTACGACTATGTTGTCTGTTGTTGTGGTTTCTCCTCTCGGCGAATTTTATCACCGGCATCGAGTATATAACCAGAAACAGAGACGAAATAAGGCCCATCCATCCCTGGCCTCTGATCAGGTAAATGGGCTTTAAATCACTTTTAAATATCAACTCTCGTTTGCGCTGAAATCACAAATTAGAAAACTGAAAGAGTACAGCGCCAAGAACGGACCTGTGTGTACGTCTCCGTGTATTCCAAAAATATTCTGTAATCATTGTACTAAAGATAATATCTTTAATAATATCTCTAACTATGGTTGCTGTTCCATTCGGTGGTGTGGGGAAATCAGCAAAACATCTAATTACAAAACAAACGGAATCACATTTCATCGGTAATTAAACATTAAGTATGTAATTTTGCAATATTCGTCCATTATAGCAAAGCTCAAGTTAAACTGGTCGCCTTGAAGTGAAACAATTGAGGACACCCGACAATTGTTTCGAATTCAGGCTGGCCAATCGGATCGCAGTTGTCACAGTAATGATTTGGCAGAATAGTTTTCAAACAATTTAAATGACATTTCGTCTCTATTTCTGGTTATATACTAAATGATCACTGGTGAAATCATGAGCAATTAACACGTTTTCCTTAGCTTGAGACTTGACATTGGCAGAATTATCGATAGAGTTGTAAAGGCTCAACGCACACTGGCGCAAAGTCGAAGCATAGCGTCGCGTTCTGTTTTTCAACTACAATCCATGGTACGCCCGGATTACAGTGTGGTCGGTGTCTGAGGCCTCACTCAAGGAATGCACGGCGACGTACGAAACCGCTCGACTTTAACCAAGCGTCGCGTCGTCATCGTCGACTCTCGATTACATATTTGCATAACACAAATTTGTACCTTAATAATGGAAAAATAGAGATGAATATGCTATAGGCGATAAACATGACGCGTCGCGACGCTTCGACTGTGCGCTATTGTGAGATGAGCCTAACACTTTAAAGAAGAACGCATATGCCATAATGTTATGGTTATTTAATAAAAAGTTATTTATTAAATAAATAAAATAAATTTAGAAATGATATACGATTGAATTTGTAAAGAATGATATATGAGATTTTTGTCACGCATTTTAAAATATCTTTTAAACGTTAGCTTAAATATGTGAAATTATATAGAACACGTTGTCCGTGTTTCGTAGAGAGGGCGAAAATGCCATTTTGAAAAATTTTTTAGAGGAGGACTCTTTTCAAATATTACATGATATATCGCTCTGCTCTTACAATAGTGTTTATAACTCAAAATTTGTAAAATTCAAGATTAAGCTGTTGCTGAAGTTAAAATTTGATTCTCTACAAGTCAATAAAACTGTTGTTAGATTATTGTAAGAAACAATCAAAAGATTTCTACTTATTTCAAAATGAGACAAAGTTTTTGAGAGCTAGTTGTGGATAAAACAGTCCTTGTGGATAAAACTCAAAAATGTTAAGTTATTGTTTAGATTTTATTTCTAAATATATTTGTCAAGTAGGAAATTGTTCAAAAATGTCGGTAATAAAGTTTAACCTATAAATAAATTTTTTATATCACTCACGGGACGTAAGTAATTCGTTTTTCATCAATTCTGAAAAAAAAAGACTTTTTGAGTTAATACACTATTGTATTAACAGAGCGATATGTTTAGTTAAATAGAGATTATTTATTTATTAATTAAACTATTCAAATTTAGCTTTACAATTTATTATTTATAATTGGGCATAATTTTTTTTAAAATTTTTTTTTCTAGCATTAAATTATAATGGACTATGTGGTGACTTAGTCAAGTTTGCGAAATAAGCCCGTGTTTGCAAAAGTTGAGTCTTGCCCCCAACGGGCAGGCTGAAAACCAGTTCTACTGTTCTGTGAATACTGAGACTGTCCTCCACACATAAATATATATATATATTTAATATTTTTAGATAGTCTATTTATGCGTGAGAGGCCGATACCTTAATTTCACCTGATGTTAAATAGATGAGATCTGCATTCGAAGAAGGTTCAAAGCCCACGGAAAACGTGTGAAGATCCCAACTCGCATTTCTTCAACTTCACCTGAGAGGAGACTCGTGCCCAGCAGTGGGACGTGTAAAAAGGTTGATGTTGTTGTCGATGGTGTATTTGTATTAATTAGCTGGTGATCGAAATGGCAAACTTGATTATTAATTAGATTTTGTAAAGTATAAAAGATCCTAGTGTCTTTCGAGCGTCAGTGTCTTGCCAACACACGCACACCGTTACACATAAGATAAATCCAGAGCGTCGAGCTACTGCGAAATAGTGCCAAACAACACCGTGTACCTACTAGTTCAGTTATCCAGTTCAGTTGACTGAACTAGTGAGATATTTTTTTCCCGTCAGTTCAGTACAAAATATAACAAGTTTTTTCCCCTGGCTTAGTAGAGATTTTTTATTTCCTCTACTACCACTAATTCAGTTGTCCAACCTCACTCTATAGTAATTTTGTTGTCCAGTCCAGTTAGTGATTGAACTATAAAGAATTTCTATCATGTTTGCACAACTGAAAAAAACAAGCTTTTTTTGCTGTACCCGACCTCTATTTTTTTGTTGTCTCCCATTTTTATCGGCATACTAATGCAATGTTGTGGCACCATTGAGCTGATCTGATTGACATTGATTTGAGATTGACAATTCTGTGGGAAAAAAATTTTCTTGCTAGTTCAGTCAACTGAACAAACGAGAAAAAATCTCAATAGCTCAGTTAACTGAACTAGACAACTGAGCTAGTGGGAATAGACCTACGACGCGCCGCGCTGGCATTGCGTGTTGGCAACACGCTGGCGCTCGAAAGACACTTGTGCGGGGGGGTCTCTTGTAAAAAGTTTTACTTTCATGTTTAATTGTTAATAATGAATAAGTGAAAATAGTTTGTGTTTAAGTGCAATATTGTTTTTCTAAGTCTTTACCACTCTTGAACCTAAAAATGTTATCATCTTTCGGTATACGACTGTCAGAGTTGACGACATGTAATGAATTGTTCGGTTAATCATAGCTGGTGTAGAAATTTAGCATTATGTTACCGTCTAGGAACTTGAAGGCCGCCCCATGTGTTAGTTATTTGTATTTTACTATTATATATTCGTCGGATTCATCAAACGAGACAAAAGTATGCTTGTCACTGTAGTTATATCTAAATGTGGCTTTCAATAATTATTTTTGGTTTAATATTAAGGTTAATATCACGATGTTTTAATACCACTGTATTCAATTATTTTTGTGAAATTTACTAGTTTTTTAAGAGTTTTTTTATAATTATTAATACAAAATTCGATCACAAAGAAAAATTCCTTCGATAGCTCTGGTATGGCGAGGTCGCTGGCTCGTGTAGATTTTTTATATAATATTAAGTGACGGGGCGAACAAGTCGTGCGCTTGATGGTAAGCTACACGCCTGTCCATAACAGTTGCAGTGTCAGTCAGAGCTTTAAATTGCAAATAACTGAAGGACACTTCCACTGCGTCTGTCACCTTGAGACATAAGTTGACGAGTCCTATATGCCTGTTATTCCACCAGCACCCTTCAAAACTGGAACGCAGTAATGCTGACATTACTGCTTGGCGCCAGAAATAGGTAAGGTGGCAGTACTTCCCCGGTCCAGTTAGATCGAAGCAATTTTTCTGTGTTCAATCTTTGTATTATTTTGTAATACTTTTGTTTTATTTGTTAAAGACGACGCTTAAAAACATTAATTTTTGTAGTTTTAACATGTAATAAATAAGACGATTTCAATTTTCTAGTTTGTTAGACATGAAGTGATCTTTGTCTATATAAAAAGCGATAAAATATTAACAAGCTTGTTTCTAAACTTTAAAAAGCTACTTCATAACTGTACAAAGATTTTGCTTTACCAATCCAGTGTTATTTGGTTAAAGTAAATACTAGTTAAGTAACTAAATTATCAGATCTCAAATTAGGGAATTCTATAAATACCAGAACAATGAAATTATTGTTGGGGCACCACTAGGGACATCTAGACGAGTTCCAATTTAGAAAAGTTCGTTTCCCAAATAGGTCTTGTTAATTGAACCCGTCCTTTAGCGCCCACGATGCTGATTAGGCCAACGAGGTCGTCAAATTAATTTTTCTTGTGAAAAATGAACTTTCAATGTCACAAATTTTGATAATGATGATTTTAAACAATTAAAATAATTTTAATTGGGCACTTAAAAGTTTATCTTAGTGTCAGTATTACTTTAATCAAATAACAATAAATAATTTTTATAATAAACTACTTTTTGAACAAAATTATTTGATCGCTTAATTGTCTAAAGCATCACAATATTAATAAAGCAGGTAATTTTACATTTGAAACATAGTGTCTATTAGACTGGCATAGTGAAACACAACGTCTATTAGTCTGTCATAGTGAAACACAGTGTCCATTATACTTATTTAAATGAAACTCAGTGTTTGTTACACAGTCATAGTAAAATACAGTGTCCATTACACTTATTTCAATGAAACACAGTGTTTATTATACAGTCCTAGTGAGACACAGTGTCTATTACACATATTTCAAACGAAACAGAGTGTATATTTTAGAAATATACAGAATTAGTTTGCAATAAAGCGAATATTTAGATGAAATGCAGCGACTATTGTTAATGACAAAATGGAAGATAATCAACGCACATTGTAAAGACCCGGTGCTGCTCGTCGCTGAGCCAACATTATTCTGTTGGCCACACAAGTATAGCAGCACAGGTAAGCCAAACATCACTTGAACAATATCCTCTTAAAGGCTCTTCGAAAATCTTTATTAAATATCGTATATATTACAGGATTTAGCACTGAATTCATGTACCCTAACCAGAAAGCTATAGAAAACGCCATATTGGCTATTTCGCAAGACTTACACGCTGCTGAGAATATGTAAAGGAAGAAGAAGGGCAACCAGCAAGCTATAAAGCTGCCCATAATTAAGCCTAATATTAATGTAGCCCGTTTTTCTTTTTTTCTTGCCAATCTTCTTTTTTCTCTTTCCGGATCTCTGGGTTTGTGCTGTTTTGGCAAGGCGGGTTCGAGCTCCGATTTACTGGGCTGCTGTTTCTGCTGTCTTCTATCAGAACTACTTTTCTTGAAGATTCTTAGTTTTAGAGGTTTAACAACGGCGCAGCGGCTTACGACCCCGGAGTCTGATGATGATGGTTCCATTTCCGAAACCATGTCTGTGTCGATGGCCACACTGGCCGCTCGACCTCTCGTCTCGAGTTCTCCATTGACGGATAATGTCGAGTTTCTTAACGGACACGTCGTTAAGAGATTTCTTTGGACTTGTGCTGATGTTACCACCTGGAGAGAGAAATAGAATGATTTAGGTAATACCAAAGCAATGAACAGACCTAAATTTGGGTCTCTGAGGTCCGCAGGTAAAACTTTTCTCTAAGAAGCATTCAGTTTGTCTCGACAAAGCCTCCAGTGACCATTTTAGATTGACATCTATTTCGACTACGACACAAAGCGACGTTGTTGCTAGTTTTATTTTATTTCAATGTACATATAAATAATATTTAGTTATTCGGGTTTGTTTAATTATGTGTAGAGATGGTAAAAACTGCTAATTAAAAAAAATGTGTTGATTGCGAAAAGACCACTAAAGGTTTTAAGATAAGTAAGTTTACTGGTAAAACACGATTTTTATTTTTATTTATAAGATTATTATTCACATTGACGATTCAATTTGTTTAGGAAATATAGATGGTGGGATTTGAAATATAAGTACGTTGTAAAAAATTAAATTGTGGATAATTGAACTGACCAACGCTCACGCTTGAATTGAAAAGCGTTCTTAAGTGATTATTTTAAAAAGCGAACTTTATTAAATGCTTTTCGTTTAAACCAATAATCATAAGTAACCTATAGTATATTACGTTTCTTAAATATTACGATTATTATTTTTAAAAATTGCCCCGTCTGTTAAATGCAATAGTACATTTCCTAGTTACATCTAAGTTGTTTCAAATTACGTTAACATATTAAGATGGAATATTTGACTTAACTCGTAGGTACTTATGCAATGTTATAATCTTTTAATTACTCGTACACATGGAATGCAGCATATTTTTTATTTTGCTCTTACATATGAAATGTTGCAAATTTTACGGATTTTAATTTTACGGTACATTATTATAGATCGTCGCATATTTTATTTTACTCGTACATATGGAATGTTGTATATTTTTATTTTACTCGTGAATGTTGCATTATTTTTGTATTAAAAAAAACTTAGTTTATGATATTACGTGCCTTTAATGTATCCTTTCTTTCATCAGGTGGTGGCGGCATGGTGTCTCCTGCTTCACTGGTCGATATGTCCGATGCCAAGTCGCATGTCACCGTTGGTATCGCCACTTGCTGGGCCTCGATTGTTGAAATTGGATTGTCTCTGCAAGATGAGTGTGATAAATTGTATTTGTTTGTTCTTGTTCAATCATTTAGGCGTCGGGTAAGGTCATTATAAGCTAGTCTGAAACTGACTGATTTTCGGGCAGCAGGTTGGTTTCACGGTGTTTTCTTCTTCCGATAAATCAAGATATACTTATGTATATCAAAGTTATTATTGAAAGGCAGACTGTACCAAACACTTATATCAAAAGCCAAACTCTCCACAGAACATCCTGAGACTTAACTATGAAACAAACGAGATGAGATATATTTCACATGCAAATTTATACCATGTGACACTCTTATTTATTGACGGGAAGAACAAGTGCACCTGATAGTAAGCTACGAACCTTTCACAGGAAGCTCTACTGCTACTGTAGTAGCCAATTAAGTCTTATTTATTATTAATAACAACATTAAAACTTTATTAAACTGGATATTTAATACATGCGAAACATGTTTGTTCCGGGATTGTTACATCTCGTGTACCATGTTCAAATTAAATAATTGAAAAAATATTAAATGCCACTTATACCATTTACAACAAGAACCCTAAATAAATTATATAATAAAATATATAAAAAAAATACAAATTGTAAATCCCAACGTGTCGTTGGTTGCAAAATACGTGTCACATGAGCCAGTTCTTTAGAACGGAAACACTCTGTTTTGTTTTATCGAGTTGCCTCGTCGTCGGTATAGACACTTGTTGGGCGACGATTGTCGATATTGGATTGTCTGTGGAACGGATTGCAATAAATCGTACGGGAGAGATTTATTTTTGGCCGTTCGGGTGTTATGTCCCGTTATGCTTCCTATTGAATGGGTAGGCGTATCATACGCAGCGTATATTTGAAAGTGAAGGATAAAATTTAGTATTGACCGTTAGGGTAAATAGACAAGAATAATATTTCTATGATACCAAGTTTCAGGGCAAACAAGTCGTACACCTGGTCACAGAATAAAAAAGTAACAAGAAACTCCCTAGCTTTACATATTGACGGTTACATTGACAGAACGGCAACAAAGCTGTTCGCTAATGGACGACTTTGATGTTTAAGGCGAGGTATTTCAATGCGAGCCTGAATGAATAAAACAGATCTGACTTCGACAAGCCCCGATGGCGACAGATGGAAACGACGTACTTATGTACTGTGTCTGAGACTCATCTTATTCAGTATTATTGTTTTCTTAATTTATTTGGTGTAGGGTAAATACATATTTACTTATAAATATTTAATACAGATTGGATGGTACAAACTTTGGGAGGCTTATACCCAGCAGTGGGCGTGGATGATGACAATAACGCACACACGCTAATAGCCCTGCACTAGGGAAACCTTGTATCACGGGTGCCATGGACACACACATAGACAACCACAAATTACACCCAAACTCACGAGAGAAATAGATGTTGGCCATACAATATTTTCTTACAGCCCAAGAATCGAACCCGGGACCTCTGCGTGGACCATGATGGTAATCCTTCGGCCCCGGAGGCAGTTATGACGATGATGAATACACATTTATTATATCATTAAAATGACACGCTTTATGTTCGTCAAAGTCAAAGTCCAATAATCTTTATTTCATAGGTACGCAAATTACACTTGAAATGGTCATACTGATTAAACTGTACTGTGTATTGGTAAGGCGGATTCCCCTGACAAGAATGAGCAAGAAACTCTAGGGTCTAATGATGTAAACTAGGGTAAACTCAATTAGTATTGGCTATAAATATGTAGTGAATGGTAAAGTTGTACACGAAATTTCAAACACCTCAGTTGATAAAAAGCACTTATCAAAAATATAACATTTTAAGTGCATTTAATTTTTTTTTAATAATTTGTTTCATTCATTCGTTCCATCAATCACTCACTCACCCATTTATTCCATAAGCAACTATTTTGAAGTGTCAAACCATTCGAACGATATCATAAAATAAGGTGGTGTGTTACCTAACAGAATTAACACTATCTCCTTCAGGCATAGGGATCGACGGCGTGGCAGGCATGGGCCTCGTTCCCTTTGGCACGTTTGTGAAGCTCGTCTGTTGCTCGTTCTGAAACAATTCAACAAAGTTAAAAAAAATGATATACCTTAACAGCATTTCGCACAAGAAATAAATACTGTCGTAACTCAAATTGGTTGAATTGAGAAGATTTCAAACTTCGAAAAATTTCTCCATAATCTGGCCTGATAAAAATTAAAGGCGTATAGGTGTATAATTCACGCTTAAATAGAAGAAGCCTTTTGATATATAAAGATAGATATAACATGATGAGATGATATGCTTGTTGACGAGGGTCTAGAATAATCAAATAAAAGACTCGGTCCCCATCATTTATTTTAAAATAAGAATAGGTAAAGAAAAGGAAAAGGAAGAAAGGTGAAGGCTGTAAAAAAACAAAATAACGGTATAAACATACGTACAATCATATAAAAACACTCCCTACTTAAATTACATACAGGTTTGACATGGTAAAAAAAGGAACTGACTCCAAAAGGGGTTGTGTTTGTGCAAATATTACGCTTTACAAGCAGCTAGGTTACATGATTTTCAATGGTATAATCAGAATTTTGACATGAAGTCGAGCACGTCTACTCGCATCGGAAATTTAGTAGAGACTCGACAGAACGAAGAAAAGGAGTAAAAGAACGATTCAAAAGTTCAAAGTAGGTGGCCAGGAACCAGAGAAAAGGGTGATAAATGAGATGACGACGAAAGAGGTCGCAGCGTTACATGCCGAAGGCGCCGGTTCGAATCGAACCGGATCGAAGGAATATTTCTTAATCTTCGATGTTTGTATTAATAATTATAACAAATTAGTGGAGTAATTTCACTAAAAACACACATTTATCTACACACATATAATAAACCCACTATGATGTATTAAAAATAAAGATAAACTGTTTTGTTACAACAAATTCTTATCTGTGAAAATGTTATTATATCTTAATATTAACATCAAATTTGGAACATCCCTGAAAAACAAAACAATTTGATTCGACCTCAATTCTAATATCAGTTGAGATTAAGTTTTATTCGAAATTAAATGTCAATAGCAAATAATTTTGACAAATCTCACACGTTACTTGATATCGAACGATATGATATTTGGGGCCTACTCTAATTTGTCTATGAATTAAAAAAACAACTACGGTTGTTAATTAATAATTACAGCTAATAGCTCTGATCAATGTTGCAATGCCGGTCGTAACATGCGGTTCCTGAACACGTCATACAGAGCAAAGCAGTGTATATAACTGTACATAATTAGGCATTAAAAAATTCGTGTGATGTTTTCATAAACCCACACTCGTATTTTAATTACGTCACAATTACATAATCTACCATAATATCATGCTAGAAGCATCGTGATATTCCATGAACTTAATATTATATTAAAGGTGTTTTTATTGTGTGTCTTGAAGGGCGAATAAAGCTTCTTTCAAACAATAAAACTGAGCCTCGATTGTATTTATCGTCCTAGGGATTTATGAGCCCGGCTTGCTCGAAAGTCAATTTTTATGATTTTCGGAATGCCTCAATAGGTAAGTCGCTAAGCCACTAAACTTTATGAATTGTAGCGAAAGTTGAAATCCTATTGTTGCACCCACGTTGCACCAATGTTTTCCAAAAACGGTTGAGCATCATTTAACAAAAAGTAGCTAGCTCAAAATGATACAATTATAGACAAAATAATGAATAATATCCACTTGGTACGGGTCTCCTCTCAGGTGAGGGTTTAGGCCAGTGATTGGCAAATCGCGGCCTAAATCTTTGACCTTTTATGTGTGGCTCTGACACAAAATACCGATCCCGTTGAAGTATACAAGACAAGTGTGGAAAAGAGTTGGAAAGGGACGAAAGGGTTACCAGCATTCTGCAGGTTATATCACGGAGAGTGTGAGATGGAATTGCATGATTTGATTCCGCCTTCTCCTTTCCATCATCGGGGGACTAGACGTGAGCTGGGGGTACTCTTATGTTGTGGATACTCCCAGGAGTCGCGCGAAACGTTTCGCTTCCACATTTATATGGCGAGCGGCTAGGGAGTAGAATTCCCTACCTGGGGACTTTTTCCCCGAAAGCTATTACTTGAATCTTGTCATTGTATGTAGTGAATAGATTATTTAGGTGTACATCGTCGATCTCATCGTCACTTTCCGTCAGGTGAGATGGAGGTCAAATGCGCACTTATTTTTATATTAAAAAATACCTCTGCAAACGTACTTCCTTCAGACTGAGGACGTTTTTAGATTAAACCAACTTAAGAGTATCCTGTATATAGTTTAAATTTAAAAAAAAAAGGCTCTTAAATGAAATTTCAATTGCTGCTGTACTATTGACATTTGGCTCTGCTAACTAATGAGTATGCCGACCGATGGTTGATAGTCGGCGACGCTGTCCAATGCGGGTGGGCGACTTCACACGTCTTCCGAGGGTTGTGAAACTTCTTCGACATGCAGGTTCCATCACGATATTTTGGTATGTTCCAAAAATCCCCAATAAAAACCCCACTGGTGGGGTTCCTAAACTTTGATTTAATTTTTACTGTAGCGCGCGTTTCTTTATTAAAAGTATAAAAGCTTCAACGCCATTTGTGGAACAAAATTAAATCAAACTGTAGGATTCCTAACCGTGGGGTTTTTTGGTGGGGATTTGTGGAACATACCGATGTTTTCCTTCACCGAAAAGCTCATGATAAATTTCAAATTAAATTTCGAACATAATATAATAATAATTAAATAAATAAAATAATAAATTCCGGAAAATTCAGAGTCGCTAGCCCGGATTCGAACCCGTAGCCTCTACTTGAGAGGCGGTATGTCAATTAAGTAGGTCATTAGGCTATCATGGTTTTTTTGTCTATTTTGATGTCCCGAGTCTAGAATTGTATCATTTTATGCACATGGCATATTTTTCGCGCACAGATGAGGTGCATCAGTATAATTCAGTATAATAATAAATTATTATTAATTTTATTAATTGTTAATTGTTATCCTTTATTCATTTTTAGGTATACCGCACACGTCAAATCGTTCGTTTTATTTTAAAACTCTTTTTTTTCCAACCGCCACAAATGAAACCCGGGCGGTTGAAAAAAAAAACAAAAATATCTTGCAACGAATTGAAACATTTGTAATAAAAATTGCTTCAAATTTTCTGCACTATTTTTTATCTTTATTTAAATCGGTATTTTATTATACATTTTTCTCGCCATTGCAATAGGATAAACTACGCGTGGGGTTAGAATGATTCTAAATATATTACCTAAGGAAATTTAAAGTCGAAATTTTGAAGATCTACTAAAGAAAATAAATAGCCATTACTGCTGGTATTATATATACAAAAAAAAACTTACACTTCTAGGCTTTTTCCGGATGCCTCTTCTAGCCCGAGCTTTAGCCGCGTAGTAAATCCTGATGTAAACAAACACCATGATGCAGGACGGTATGTAAAAGCTCCCCAGCGCCGAGTACAGCACGTAGCCGATGTCATCTGACACCTGAGAAAAATTAGTATAATGTTAGTTGATGGGTTAATAAAAGACTTTAAGGCAAGCCTGTCAGTTAGATTAACAATAAGTTTGACCGAGAAACAACAGTATCGTTTTTATACAAATAATGGATCACGAAATAGTTTTTCCGTTATTTTACCATTATTTTTTTCCCTTAGAGCGGGACGCCTGTAAATTTAATATTGTTTTAAAAATAAGTAAAAATAAATAATTTTTGTAACTGTCATAAACAGAAGTTTACGATAGTTACAAAAATGATTAAAAAAGAGAACCAAAAATGTTTCTAGTAGCAATGTATTCTGGTGGGCTTTTTTTACATATTTTTCTCAGTAATATCAGTACTGAGTATACTAAAAAAACCGACGACAAAAGTTCGTGGAATAAGATCTGTTTGGCAAGTTTTATTGAAATCGGTTACCGGAAAGTGCTCAAAACCGGATTCATCCCTTAGTTCGCCACTATACGGGATTTAATAGAGGAGATAATAAAAATCAGTGCTCACTGCTTAAAGTTTATTGAGAGAAAAACGCCTCCAATTGGAGCATAGCAAAATCAACCGTTAAAACAATTGCTCCTTATAAAATTTAGGCGCTATTTATAAATATAAGTCTTCATGCATGAACAGCCACCCTTAGAGGTGGAATATTTTCTTTAAAATTAAATGGGACCGCTACTAGGGTACCCTCTTTCCAACACAAAAAGAATCATTAAAATCGGTTCACAAATGCAGGAGTTATCACGTAACGTACAAAAAAAAGAGTCGAATTGAGAGCCTCCTCCCTTTTTAAAAAATAATGTCACGTGTGTCCTGTTATATCAAAGCGGGACATTGTTATGTTGTATTTTGGGGACAGCGGGACACAAAGATTATAAGCGGGACTACATATGGTCACGTTATGCATAATCAAATTAGCCATGAATATTAGTTTCTAATTACCTTTGATACGGGCCATTAACTCGCGATGTCATTACAAGATTTTTTTCTACGTTGTCAGGCCCGTTACTTGAAGTCAACATTGAACTTACCGAGGTTTACTTAAACTTAGTTAAAGCTTGTGTTAATTCAACTTAAATTTCCTGCCTTGGTACGGTTTCCGCATTGTAACCTGAGAAGATTAATTTGTCTTTTTACTAGCGTATTTGTGTTCTCAACTATTTGTATTTGCAATCGATGAAATGGTTGTAAAATTAAGCTTGTATAATTACAATTTCTAATCTATACGGGTAGTAAGTGTGACGGAAAACGAAAGCTTTAAAAATATCATTTATGGATATATTAAAAAGAGGTGGCCATAAATGTGACCCCTGTAGAACGCCATAAGATTAATGTCCCTTACTTTTCAGACAAAATTCTCAAGAGTATCGATTATTTTGAATATTTAATAACGGCCCTAAAACTTCATGTTAAAATCCTCGCTTCACAGAATCTTAATCGTGAAAGGGTTTTCCGAGAAGGGGTGATAAATCAGATGATAAAACAGTAATGGTTATCGTGTTTTACTTTAGTATAATATTAATGGTTTATTTATATCATTAATGTCTACTTATAATTTTAGTGTTAAGAGTCGGTACTAACCTCAGCTCGAATTCAAAGTTTTCTCGTACGGTTTATTTTGCTTGGGTCGAGTGGCAGAATTAAAGAATTATTTTCTTTACAAACGAAATTGATGCCATTTGAAAAATGCTTATCGTATAGTATACGTGCTTTATTTAGTTCAGTTGATATAAAAAAATCATTGCTATATGTGAAGTACCGAGTTTCGAGGTAATTTGTCTTATTTTTCTATCGTGAAACTTTTTGGGAATCCTGTTTTCAATTCAATTCGACTGTATTTTTGTGTGTGTGTTACGTGATAACTTGCTACGCGACATTTGTGGACCGTTTTCGATGATTCTTTTTTTGTTTGAAAGTGTTCTCAGTAGTGGTCTTATTTAAAGAAAATATTCCACCTCTAAGGATGGTAAATTAGGGGATGAATCTGGTTTACTGGATTTCATCTACCGATTTCAATAAAACTTGTTGAGGTTTTTTTTGTAAAATAGTGTCATGTGATAACTTCTGACGTATGACCACTTGTGGCTTTATTATACTAAGGTTACGAACTTTTGGGACAGTTTTTGAACCCATTCCCTGACGATGTTTTTCTTCATAATTAAAATAAATAGTAATCGGTAAGCATGAAAAATGTAACTTTTTGAAATAGGTTGTTTTGCATTAATATTGGACATAACTGATAGATGGCTAATACCTCCTCAGTTTGTGTGAAACATAGTTTTGTTTGAGAAGACAAATATACTTAATTTAGATCCAAGAAAGTAGTTTCATTTCCAAAGTAAATATCCCTTACATAATTTTTTCAGCTACAACATAAAAACATTTTTGTAAAGAAGGTTATACAAAAACGTCAACGATGAATTATTATATGAATTTCTGGAGACCAAAGCAACAGTAGCAAGCGAACCCGATAATAAATCCATGTTAGTCAGTTAGTGTGAGGTTATATTTTATTCACCTGTCTACCCTAGTTACCCGAACGAGGTGATTGAATACATCCTGCGTTTCAGGAAAAGGCAAAAATGTTTGGTCTAATTTATAAACGCCTCTTGGAAAGCCATTGCGAAGTTACTCAATCGCATTATCTCGACTCGAATACTGCATTGTAATCCATAAT